GAACAATAACGATAATAATAATAATGACGATAATGATGATAAGTTTCGATGTAATTACAAACGACAAGGGCTTTAACAATTGAAAACTAATTTCTTTGATGATGAGTAGAAAAAAAACAAAAAAATTAATTTTTAATAATGATTTTTTTTAAAATTTTATTGTAGTGACTATAACGTGATTAATCATTCGCTAACCCCTTCCCCTCTCCTCCCTACTTCCTCTTTCAAATGAATTTTACGTTTTTAGCTTTAATAATAATAATAATTTCGTTGTTTTTTTTTGCCACACGAGATTCACCAACATGCCAATTTGGACACATACGTACAATTCGGTTTTATTTATTTATTTATTGCTCGAAGTTACGATGATAATAATGATAATTATAAGTATTATAAACGCGTTTAAAATGGAATTTAATAAAACAATTATTTTTATTTTTAGTTGGAAAAAAAAACTCAAAACTTAAAACCCCAAGTAAGACTATATAGTAATCAAATCAATATAGGTAATGTTTAACATTTGAAAGTCATATAAATTCAAGGTTAACATGAATTAATGTCGGTTAATATAATTGCGTTGGTTTAAACGTTACGTCGTTATTTATTTATTTATTTTATTATTATTATTATTATTAAAATTGATTTTCCAGCAGAATAAAAATTCCATTGTGTATAATTGGTCATGGAGTAGCGAAAAAAAAAAAAATTAAAAGGATATGAATTTTTTATTAAATCATTTCGAAAAAATAAACTTTTTTTATCATGGAGAATGATAAGTGATTAAACATTTTACATATGATAAACGAATTTCATTTTTTTTCCAAAAAAATAAATAAATATATGTTATTAATAAACGAATAATAGACTACCACGTTGTTGTTGTTGTTGTTTTAAAGAGAAAAACAAACATAAAAAATTTTTTTTTCGTGGTTTTGTAATAATTATGGGTTTTAAATGTAATTATAGTACTGCAAATAACAATTTATAAGGTTGATAGCAAATAGTTTATTATGTTTTTTACGTAAATGTTAAAAAAAAAAAAATTATTTAATTATTATTGATTTGTTTCCCCCCGCCACGCCCCCGCCCCCCGACTAATGTAATAAAAGGAATGAAAATTTTTTTATTTTTTTTAAAAGAGGTGGAGTCAATGGAAAAACTCCATTGTTTTCGCGATGATGATGATGTTATTAGGGTTAATTTGGTTTGTTTTTTTTATTATTAAAATTTAAATCGAATCCGTAGGTTTTGTTTTGGATAAATTTTTTAAAAATTTGAAAATTAGCCGTTAAAAAACGTAAATTTAAAAAATATCAGGTGTTGGTTTAAATGTTATTGAAAATGAATTTTATTATGCCAAAGTTTTTTTTTTTTATTACATAAATTATAATTTCAACTAGTCGACCTTCGATTTACATTTCTTTTAAGTTCTTTTAAATTTAATTTAAGTATTTTAATTTTAAAAAAAAAATTTTTTTTCTAAACCTCCTGACATTTACAAAAAAAAAAAAATTTAGGCGGTCTTGTTTTACACGATCAACTTTTCACCAAAAATAAATAAATAAATAAATAAATTTCCCGTTTTTTCCTCTTTTTTTTAAATTTTTTCTGCGCAATAGTAAAAATCAAATTTTATATGTATATATATGAAAAATGGGGGGGAAAAAAATGTCTTTAATAATTTTTAAAATAAAAAATTTATTTAAAAATAAATAAATAAAACGATACATAATACTGAATTGTATTCACAATCAAGTGTTATTTACAATAATTAACACTTCACCACGACCATTTTGTTTTATTATGCACCATAAAAAAATTAAAATAATAATAGATGCATAATTAAGAAAAAAAAAATTTACATAATAAATAATAATTTATGAGTATCAATTATTTTTACATAAATAATTAATTTAAAAAATGCCATCATTCGATTGGTTCTTCCATAAACTTATTAAAATCTTTCGTGTGTTCGTTCATTGGATCGTATTTATTACGAATTTGTTCCCATGCTGGTTTTTTCTTTTCCATTAAATATTTTGCCGCTTTTTTAACAATTCTTTTTTGTGCTACCGTACATTTTTCGCAAGATGTATCAATTGCTTCCGGTAAATAATCTAAAGTTAAAAAAAAAATTTATTAGAAAGTCAACAACAACAATAAAAAACAACAATATTATAAATTTCAGTTGTGAGTATAACAAACTCCCAAAACAAGTTTGTTTGTTTGTTTGTTTTTTAAAGATAATAATAATAGGTACCTTTAAAATCTTGTCCTTCTTTTGTACATGGCCCCTTGTCCAAAAGACAATTTACATGAGATTCTAGTAACCTGTCATTTTTCAATATCGAATCTATATCGATATTATCGTATTTTGTCGAGTATTTTTGTGGTAATGCTAATGCCACGATTATCATAGTTATTAAAAAAACTAATGTTGTGAATGATTTCATTTTTTTTAAAAATTTATTTATCTACAATAGAAAAAAAAAAAAAGAAAACTAGATTACAATGCAGTAAATCAAAAAAATTATGTTGCCGATATTCGAATTTTTTAATATCGTGACAAACCAAGCGTTTGTTTGTTTACTATTTTTAATGATAACAATTTATGTTTTATTATTGACATACTTTTTTTAAAAAAAAATTAAAATTTAAATAACGGTTTAGTGCACTGAAAAGATTTTAAAAACCCTTAAAATCTTTCAGTTATGTGATGTCTGAAATTTTTGTATCATTAAATTTCTTATTGAAAAATTTAAATTTTGAAAAAAGTATTTTATACAGTTATTTCTTAAAAAATAATATCAATAAAAAAAATCCGTGATAAAATTAATTTTTAAAATTTACAATCTTCTTACCTTTAGATTGCTTTGTTAGCAATAAAAGAAATGTATGCACTTATGAAAAAATTATTATCAAAATAAATAAATAAATAATATATAAAAATTATACAATACCTGTACTATCAGTTCCAATGCAAGTTAACTAAAAACTAAAGACCTAAACAATTGCATCTATTTAAAGGTGCAAAGCCTAATTTTTAGTGCCAAAATCAGGCAAAAAAAGGCTTAAATCACCTATTAATTTTAAAATATTGTCATTCCAATTACTTAATAATAATAATAATAAAAACAATAATAACTAGTTCGACTAATCTAACTTATGTCACCGTATATACACGTGTTATAAAGTTAGGTAATTAATCATTTTGTGCTCTTTTTGTTTTTGTTTGTTTGTTTTTTTTTTTTTTTTTTATTAAAAAAAACTTTAATGTTTTTTGTTTAATTTTTTTTTTTAAATTACGCCTGATGATGATGATGATGATGTATGTTTTTTTTTTTGTTTTATTATTTTCAAATTTAGCAAAAGTTTAATATTTTTATCCATTTTATTTTGATAAAAATAAAAAAAAAATAATTGTAGTACTTTTTAATTTTTTTTCTAAAAAATTGGACAAGATTTAACATTATCATAAATATTACACGATAAATTTTTTTAAAAATTAACCATTTTTTTTTATTTTTTCAGAAAATAACATTTAGAAAAAAGGAAAATGGAGATTAATTAAGGGGGAAAAAAAAGCGTAAGTATTAATTTTAAATAAAAAGGGCGGGTTTTTATTGTCAACGGATATAAAATTTAACGTTTTATTTTCTTTTTTCGTAGCAAATAGAAAATTGGCGGTTAAATTTTGTTTTGAAATGTTGGCTGCACTGTCGTCAGTCTTTGAAAAAAATTTGTACACTGAAATTACATGAAAATTATTATTTTTAATTTTCGTTTGTATTTTGTAAATTTTCTTTATTAATTTTAATGAATCTATTTATTTATTTATAATAATGAATTCATTATTAAACAATGGTGATGTTGAAGATGGAGAGGTATTTTTTTTTTTAAATTCGAATCAATTTTTTTTTTTTTTTTTGTAATATTAATTTTAGTTGTCTTTCTAAATTCTGTACTTGCACTCACATGCCCATAATTTTTTTTTATTATTAATTTCAGTTATTTTATGTACTAATTGAAGTAATGTTTTTCTTGTTTTTAAAAAACCTGTTTTTTAAAATTTTTATTTGACAGTGGTATTGATCTAAAGATATTTTTTTATTTTAATTACTTTGATTTAGATTTTGCAAGATGATTCAGACGATCTGTACACTCCATTGGAAAGACCTCATATTTCAGCAACAATAAATAACAAGCAGATGCCATTTAGCGAAAGCGATGATGACAATAATTTAAAAGAATCTTCGACAGATTCTGATTCATCGACAAAAAATTATTTTTCAAAATCAAAAAGGAAAGCTTTACCAAAACGTCCCAAATATATAACTGAAAAGAATAAAAAACATAATATTTGGGGCAGCGATTTGCAAGCAGATATTTTAACAAATTCTTTAATTAATTGTAACGTAGATCAATCTAATAAAAGAGTTCGTAGTGTTGAATCATATGACTATCAATTAGCTAAATTAAATAAGTATAATTCTAATGACTTTAGAAATAAAGGGAAACACTCTGCTAAAAGGAAACATAATGGAGCTTTTAAAGATAAAAAGCTTCAATCTGTAGAAACAAATAAAAGCTGCCATAACAATTTAGGCAATGAGGACCAGGGTAGAAATATTAATAGTCTCGAAACTTCGGTTCATAATTCGGAAGATGATATTGCTGCTGACATTGCTAGCAAACTTAAAGAAATAAAAGAAGATTTAATTTGTAAGTAAATAGTAAATTAATAACCAATTAGAAAAAAAATTTCATTGCCTAATTTAAATGTCGAATAATAATAAAATTGAGTTTCAATTATTTTAAATTTAATCGAATTCGGTTGTCAATTTATTAGAGTGTGTGTGCAATGTTCGACCCAGCGATATTAAAAACTATAATACTAAAAGCGGTTAACATTTTAAATATTAATTGTAATGTGAAATTTGTAAATTAATTCATTATATTTACAGTAGTTTTAATTATTTATGCATATAATTAAATAATTTTTTTTTTTTTTAGTGAGGGCCATACAAGTTTTGGGAAAGGAAGCTGTAATTTCTCTGTTTGAAGAAACTAGAAAAATTGAAGCATCAGGTGGAATGCTTATTATGGTTGGTTTTAAACTTTAAGGAATAAAGAAAATTTTAATTCTTAGAATTTTAATTCTAAATAGAGCATAATAAAATTGATTTAATTTTTAAACGAAAATAAAAAAATTTTATTTTAGAATGGGACCAGAAGGAGAACTCCTGGAGGTGTTTTTTTTTACCTTGTTAAAAGTTCAGATCAGTTGCCTAGGGATAAGATAAATGAAATTTTTATTGAAGATAAAAAATCAATATCTAAATTAAAAAAACGAACTGCAAATGAATTGAAAAAAGCTAGGGCGGCTAAATTTAAGGAAGCATTAAATAAAGGTATAAAATTTATTCATCATGTACAGTTAATTTTTTTTATTTTATTCATTTTAATTTCAATTTTTTTTTGTTTTTTTTTTTTTTTCCAGATGATTTTCCCACTTTATTATCTCGTACTGAACTTGTGATAAAAGAATTTAAAGCTAAAAGATTAGCCGAAGAATCATCGGAAGTTGTCAATCCTCCACCATCTCCAGCAACTGATGGAAGAGATTTCAGTAGTGACGGTGAAGAACACAAAGTTGGTAATAACGTACGCATGGAGAACAAATTGACTGCTTATGATGATAATTTATTCGATTGCGAAGAGAATAATATGAATTAGGGTAGTAAAAAATATTGATTCCTTGAACTTATAAGTAATATTCATTTAAAAAGTATTTAAATGAAATTAATTGAGAGCATCGGGAGGATGTTTTAAATGATGAAAAATTTTTCTCATTTTCACCGTGACATGATAAGCTTTTCGAAATTTTTTTTTAACGTTTTGCCATAAACGTTACCTTTCTTATTTCAGATAAAATATTTAAGTTTGATTTCCCTCCCTAATTTAAAATTTAATTTATAGTCTTTTTTTGTAAACAATTCGCAAACGCGTTAGTCATTATTTTTAACGAGTTTTTTTTTTTTTTTTTTTTTCTAAAATATTTATAATGATTTTGAGCAGAGATCAAAAAATAAATATCGTGTAATAATTATTTTTAATTAGGGGTAAAAATTTGATTATGATTTTTTACTTGCTGTTATTTTTTTTTTTTTTTTTATGGAAAATCGGAATTATATTTTTTCTGCGATTGTTAAAAAAAAAAATTTGTTTTTAAAACATGCGACGAGTTTTACGCACTTGTCGAAAATGTTTTTTAAAATTTATTTCAAATTTTTACCTTATTTATTAATATTTAAATTATTATTATTATTAATGTTAAAATTTCGGTGGTGCTATTTTTTTGTAATTTTTTGGGAAGTATGTGGATTGTTTTCAAAATTTGATTTTTTCTTTTAAGTTTCTAAAAATTGTCTTCAAATTTTCTTTTTATTTAGCTTGGCTGCCAATGATTTCAACTTACGCGACTTGCTGTCGTAATCGGGCTTGGAATTTGATTGTACCACTCCTTGGGTAATTCATCCATTCCATATTCCTAACGGATATTCCAGTGGTGGTATTTGTAAATTTTATTGTACCTCTCTAGTATTTTTTCTCTAGTATTCATGTTTTGCGAATATCAGGTCTATGGAAATTAAAATGTCGATGGTTTTCGATTGTGATTGGCAAATTCGGCACATGCCATCTTGGCGGACTTTGAGAGTTACCTTTTCATAATTGTAAGTCCGTCAATCCCAATTTTGTGTACCTGTAAGAGACGCTGCCATTTCAATTCTTAATTTTCCACGCCGTAACCAATTTCGCATGCTCTTCTTATTTATTTCAGGAGCGTTTGTTCCTTTCAGGTATTGTCCGTGCAACTTTTTCTATTCTGATTGGCCCCCTAAGTTATTTCGGGAATCAGGCTTTGCTATTATAAGTTGCTTTCTGTTTTCCGTGTTTTTTTCATTTTTCGATCTAGGTCCGAAATTTCCTCTTACGTCCAATTTACGAGGCCAAAACTATATTTTACAGAAACTGCTAATGTGCCAATCGCATTCATTTTATTTCTTCCGTTCAGATCCGATAGTATTGTAAGCCTCAATCTTTTAAAGTATTCTTTCTTCGGTCAAGTTTTAATTTTTTTGTTTGCTATTCCAAAATTCTCTTCAATTCCGAGGTATTAGTATGTTGATCCAGGGACCAGTTCCTTAATAAATTCCTCTTCAAAATCTTCTGCACGTTCCTTCCTTTTTAACTTTCCCCTGACATTAGTAACTCTGGCACATTTTTCCAAACCAAATTTCATGTTAACGTCAGATGAGAAAGTTTGTACCGTCCTTGACATTTTCTTCAATTCCTTTTCGTTCTTTGCATAGATTTTTATTTTATTTTCCTCCTTTTCGGCATTAATTCGAAACCTTAATTCATCTGGTTTAGTAACTTTGACAGGGACATTAATCTTATGCAAAACAAAAATGGCTATAATAAATCCTTTTGAGAATTTTCTTTTACTGGATATTTTTCTCGAAGAGTATTTTGGAACTTAATGTTGGATGCACCAATTTTTCATGTTCTTCTTACAAAACGTAATAATTTTTCGGGTCGACTTTATATATATTTTTAATGCTTAAAGAATTCATTCGTGATGAGGCACACTATCAAAGGGTTTTTGATAATAAATTCATGCCATGCATTAATTATTCCTTTTTTGTTTCGCATTGGATATGATTATTTCTTAATACTTCCTCACATCCACATGATCTTTTTTGGCATTGTATCGGGCGGAAAATCTCACCTTTTTCCATCCAAGTGATCGCAAATCTTCTGCCGTTTGAAATTTTGTAAATTTTTGGCAAACAACCTTTCGTTCCTCCAAGTTTCTTCGATAGTAAATATGTCTTCCACGTCTTCTATTTCTTGTTGCCTATTGATTATATTCTGCATAGATAGTACTAAATATTTGTGAGCACCGAATGTCTTTGTAACCTTTGAGTTCGCTTGAGTAAAAATAGCACCACGTGATTTTTTTTTTATGCCTTCTTGAATCTTTTTTATTGGAATAGTTCGAATGAAATGACGTGGAATCATCGCATTCTCGTTATTTTTTTTTTTTTTTTATAACAAACACGTGACGTAAAAAACACTAAACAATAAATCGGTTAAATTTTTTTTTTGCAATCTTATTTCGGGGATTGTTTCATTGTAGTGTTTGACGTTATCATTCAACAATAAAATGTATATTTAATTGTATTAAACGAATTATCCGTTGTAGTTAAAACTTTTTTTTACTTTTTTCTTGTCGTTTTCTTTTCGTGTAGTAAAATGTAATTAACTTTTACTTTAACTTAAACACTTAAAAATTATTTGAATGTTATCAATCGTTTAATAAAAAACTTTAACTCGAAACCATTACTACGCATCACTTTAAACTGCATCAAATTACAAAAATTTTATGTATCATAAACTCCGATTACTAAATTTTTTTGTAATGTGCAACTACAACAACCGAAAGAAAAAAAAAATTTGTAATTAAATAAATGTCTTTGACATTAAATACTTGGCTATCATTTTTATCATTTGAACTTATGCACGAGTTATTTTCATTATTATTATTAATATTTATTTTCCGGATGTTTTTATTTTAATATGTGGTGTGTGAAACTTTAGTTTCCGTTACATAATGTAATGAACGTGTTTCGGGTTTTAGTTTTTTTTTATGTTATTATTATTATTATTTATATATTCCACGATTGTTACTCGCGGAGACATCATTTGATCAAATTTTAAACTGTCATCGTTTTTCAAATTTTGAAACGACGTCTCATTAAAAAAAGAGAGGGAAAATTTTCCGGACTAGATAGAATTTTCCAATAGGAAATTTAAATTTTATTGTAATTATTTTTCATGGGAGACGAATTAAAAAAAAAAAATTTTTTTAAAGGCATTAAATAAAAATTTATTAACGTCAATAATATAAAATACATAACTATTTCCGGTTGGAAAATTATTTAATATGGAATTGTATAACGTTATCGATTAAATTATTTATAAATTTTATTTGTCAAATAAATGGTTGTTGTTGAAAGACGCGTCCGTTATTAAATTGTTGAATGACTGACGTTTTTCTTTTTTTTTCCAGAGGATTTTTAATTTGTAATTCAAAAGGAATCGTTGTTGAAAATTTTTCTTTTCTTTTTTTTTCCGATGGAAATCGAACACAATTTACAAAAAAGAAAAAAAAGGAAAAAAAATAGAATTATTTGTTTTGTTTTTTGTGATTGATGAAACGGGATACGAGACGGAAACAATGTCTTAAGATAAAAAAAAAAAAAAACGTACGAATGTCGAAGTTTATGAAAATTCTCTGTGAAAATGAGAAGGAGAGTGTTTGTTAAGTTGTTTCATGTTTTTTTTATTGTTTAGAATAGGTTTGGTAAAAGAAACAAAAAGGAAGAAACATAGTTTAAGAAAAAAATTTCGAAAAAGAACGTGAAAATTCTAGAAAGAAAGTTACGACAACCGCTTTTGGGACTACGGCACTGACTTTTTTTTTTTTAGTTTTTAGTTTTACGATTAGATTTGTTGCATTTATGAAAATGGAGGTTGACTTAATGACTTTTGAAAACTTATTTTGTTGGCCTGGATGATGGTTTAGAATTCTTCATTATGTTTTCTTTAACGATGAAGAATTTTCAACCGGAGGAGATGACAAAAATAGTTTTTAGATTTTATTTTAAAAATTATTAATAAAAATTTTAATACGTCATTATTTTTTAAAGGTCGTTGCTTTTTTTTAAGAGAGGGAAAATAAACCACGTGACTTAACGATTTAAGGGGAAAAAAAATTTGAAAATTATGTAAAAAATTTAACACAATTTTTGTCATTCAACTAACGAAATAAGAAAATTGTATGTGTTTCGGTTGAAATACAAGTCAATGGTAGAAAAAAATTGGCAATAAAAGAAAATTAGCTTTTTAAATTTTCTAGAAAAAAATAGAAAGAAAGCGAGAATAAGAAGAAGAAGAAGAAGAAAAAGTAATAACAATAGTAAAAAAAGGAACGTTTGAATATTAAATGAATTCCTGAGACGTCCAAGATTCTGCTTCAAGAATCCTCGTGAGACCGGTTCGGCTTGGATCTGAATGAACGGAAAGAAAAAAAAAAAAATTTTTTTTTACGTTGGAAATAAATTAAAGAAAAATATTTGGCCTGTTTTCCGGAAGTAAAAAATAAAAGAAAATCGTTGAGGTAAGAAAATTTATTTTTCTGTCGTGATTTTAAATTGATTTTCATATGAATTTTGTCGAGAAATTTTTGATTTTCAATGTTTTCCCTACAAGGATCTGTTGTAAATTTGACGTTTTTTTTTTTTTCCATCAAAATCCGAGAAATAATTTTTTTAGCCATAATAATAATAATTTGATTTCGAAAACATAAAAAAAAAGATGAAAATTTCAAATTTTCATTATTTTTTTTATTTTTTTGTGGAGAGTTGATAGGTTATTTCAAAAGGTGGCAGGAGTTGCGCTGTGACGATAACAACGACGACGACGACGAAGTTGGCAAAAGAAAAAAGGAAAAAAAAAAAAATTTTTTTTTTTTTTTCCCTCGTTGTATTCAGTTTGATTCAGGATTTCGTCGAACGAAGAAGAAAAACGAGAAGAAGAAGAAGAAAAATCGAGAATAAAAAAAAAAACATCGCGTTCGTTTACCGGAAACTTTATGCGTTTTAAAACATTACGTCATATCCGGTTTATATATGCACACACACTCGCGTTTAAATATGTATTGAAATCGTGTTAAAAAGTTAAAAAAAAAAAATATTTTCGCATCTCTCTTTTCATATCCGGTTCGTTTTTCTTCTTACTCCTCCTCTTTCTCCTCCTCCTTCCTCCTCCTTCCCTTTCATCACGACTTCCTACTTCCTCTTTATCTTCTAGGCATTCGTGAAATTTTCCAGTGAAAATATAATCATTTGGTGCGTCGATTAATAAATAAAATTTTATCCGGAGTTTTTTTTGTTTGACGAGAAATGTTTTCGTGTTAAATGAAAATAGTGAATCGTCGTCACGTAATCTTTGCACGAAAATCGGTTAAGAGAGAGAGAGTGAGAGAGAGAAAAAGAGAGAGAGAGATTTCATTTTTTTTTTTTTTATAAATGCTGTAGTTTAAATTAAAAAAAAAAAATTTCTTCTGGGAAAAGAAAAAAAAAAAACGTACCTGGAAAAAAGAAAAATTTCATTCCGGAAATTTAGAAATATTTTAAATTTACTTCTTTTCTCTCTCTCTCGCTCTCTCTTTACCTATCTCTATTTCTCTCTCTCTATTTTTTCCCGGAGAATGGGAGGAAGTTGAAAATTTCGTAAAAAAAATTTTTTTGCTGGGGGTGGGGGTTTGTTTGTTTTTTTTTTTTTTCCGGGTAACATTAGTATTTTTACCGTTGTGATGATGATTGTTCGGGTTTTGATTAATGAAGTTATTTCGCGATAATAATAATAATAATAATAATAATAATAATAATAATAATAATAATAAAAAGTGATACAACGATTTAAACTTTTTTTTAAAAAAAATTTCGTTTAAAAATAAATGTTTGTTCAAAATGTTTTTTTTTTCGAAGAATTTCACAATTTGGATAATCCAGCTATGTAAGTATTTATCATTACCATTACCATTATTATTTTTTATTTATTGTAAATATTTTTTTTATGTATATGTGTTAACGTGATTCCTTTTTTGTTCACGTTTGCGTTTGTAATACCATTATTAATTTTTATCAGATAATAATTTATTTTTCGATAACGTTGCAAATATGTGGGTTTGGGATGTAAAATCAGTTTGACTACAACCGAATTATTTGTTTGTTGTTGTTTGGTTTTGTTTAGGATTGTGTGATTGTTTTATTTTAATAATTTGAGTAGTGATTATTTTGGTTTGTAAAGGTTGTGAAAATGTTTTTAAGATTAGGTTTAAGCCTTGTTGAGAAAAGGTTTGCGTGGTGTTACGTTGGGGAAGGTTACAAAGAAAAAGTGAAAGGATTCTTACTGTAACCTTTCAGAGGGAAAGTTCGGTGATGGTGTGGATTACGTGGATGTTTTGAAATTGCCTTCTTTTTTTTTTGTCGTTTGTTTGTTGTTTGTTCGAGTAATTATTTTTTAATTGATTTTTGATTTGGGAATTGAAAAAAAAATAGGGGAAACGTTTCCGTTGTCGTCTGTAATCAATTGTATCCGGTGGTTTAAGTGAAAGATAGAACATTGATTGATTTCGCGTAAAAAGAGTTTTAGTTAAAAATTTTAGCAGAAGAAAAGAAAAAGAAGGGAAGATTAACTAGTATTTACCGGTTGTTCGAAATCAATTTTTTTTTTTTATTTACTGGAATTTGAAATTTTTTTGTTTTAATTATTATTATTATTGTTGACACGTCCGTACTCGATTCGAACTTTGTAACTAACTCTGTTTAATTTCAATTAGGAAGTTTAAAATTTATAACTTTATTTAGAAAAAAAGTACACACACGCACACGCACACACACACACACACAACACACGGTAAAATGTTGCTACAAATCAGAAAGTTTTGCGTGCACTGAAATTTTAAAACTGTTTTTGTAAACTGAAACCCTTCATTTTTAAATCATCTTAAATTTCTCAATTGTGTGGGGGTGGCGTGGGGGGTCGGTGGCGTGGCGTTCTTTCTCCATAATTTTTTTTTTTTTTAATTATGATGTCGGAGTAGTTTGTTGATTTAATTTTTTGTTTTTTTAAATCAATGAATATGTTTACGAAAGGTTGTTGCTTTTAGGTCTTTTTTTTTTTAAAAAAAAGGAAAAATACATTTTGTATTAACCTCCTTACCGGGATATTAACCCGTATTAATTTCCGACTCTGCCGAAGACGCTATCCAACTAAAACTCCTGAACGTATTTCACCGTGCTCTTTCCCGAAGGGAGGGGCACTCGCGGGAGTACAGCCCCCTCTTAAGCCAGAATTATCAGGTTCAAACTTGTGAAAGTGGAAGTCTCACTCGAGGAAAATTTTGGAACTTTTTCTTCTTCCTGTTTTATCCTTTTAAAAGACAGCCTCGAGCTGCCACCAGCCGCCAGGGACCTCACCAAACACATCGTGAAATACGAAATTGATTGGGCTCCAACTCTTGCGCAAATTTCCATCCCAGGAGGTTCACGTTAGGTATGCTTCTTCTATCTTTTATTTTGATTTCGAAGGGTAGGGGAGTGGTATCCTCCTCGCTTTCAACTTCTGCTTCATCTTCGACTTCCAAAGGCTCCTCAAGTTCTTCAATCTCTGAGGCTCTCTTTGCACTCCGGGATTTTCTGTCCGTTGCTCAAGAAAATCCCTGTTAGGATCACTTCGAGTTTCGGTGAGAGCACGATGTATCCCCTATTGCGGGTTGAATGGAAAAAGCTGGAAGGGGCAATGACTCGTAGTAGTCACGTTATCGTTCCTAATCCGTTACTCTTTATCTACCAGGCTGCCTGACCTTCGACAGCGAGGTTTGCTTGCTCGATTGTGGGATTCATTATAAGGATTGTTCATATTCATCCTATAATGTTACTCTACACCTGGGTAAAAAGGGGGTAGTAGGCCTTTGACGTTAATTCATTTTTAATTATTGCATAATTTTTACTGGGGATTTTTTTTTTCTTCGACACACAGAGTCAGTCACTCTTAATTACAATTTTATAATTTAAAAATTATTATTATTATTTTTAACAAAAGATCCGAGGAAAACGGTTTTTGAGAAGAAGGAAAAAAAAAATAAAACAAGCGTTGAAATTTTTTATAAAATTAACTTTTAAAAAGGTTTTTTTAGAAAAAGGAATCCACGTTGATAATTAATCAGATTAAATCTACTTACGTTATTAAGCTCATTACAGTAAAAGAGTAGAGAGTTGTAGTCAAGTAGCAAAGTTATTATTATTATTCTTTTACCTACTACTACCACTACTACTGCTGCTACTACTTCTTTCTATTACTGCTACGCTTTCAAACGATTATTATTATTTATTTAATTTTTTTTTTTTTGCGGTTAAATCTCAGATCATCTAATAAGTGAAGTTGATGAATTTTTAAGGGGATTCATTCAACCGATTAAATCATCCGATTTAATTCATCCGGGAGGTGGGGGGAGGGGGGAAAGAAAACATTCGGTATATTGTTACGTAGAACAACATCAACAACAACAAAATTACAACAAATCAACAACAACGACCTTTTCTGTCGGTTCCAGAAATATCTTCATCACTCTCTCTTTCTCTTTTTTTTTTTTTGTTAAAGATTTACGTGGATTGATCGGGGATGACGTCATCGTTTTTTAAAAATATAAATTTAACGTTTCATTTACACGATTTTACAAAAACAATTAAATTTTTTTTTTTTTTTTCGTACCGATTATGTGCGATTCGGTCACCATCAATTTATTTATTTATTTTATTGGATTTATTCAAGTAAATGATTTGAATGACTTTCTAATACTTCCGGTACGATAAATGGATTTAACGAAAGAAGTGTTTAGTAAAAATCCCCCCTTTTTAAACTTATAAAATATTTACGATTTTTTTTTTTTTCGATTTGCAAAACATTTCGTTAATTTCACGGGTTTTGCTTGCGTGACTTAATTTTCCTCTCATCATTTTCATTGTAATTTTTTTTTTACACGTGACCTTTGCCCTCCCGGAAAAAAAAATTGTTTTTTTTTCCCGATTCAAACGAAAAATCCCGGGATTTTGATCACATTTCCTTTTTTTTGTTTGTACTCTCTCTCTTTCTGGGGGATGTATTTAAGTCGTTCATTCATTCATCTCAAAAGTTTCGATTATTTCATCGTTTTTAATTTCGACAAAACAAAAAACGTATTAAATGTCGGATTTTTCCCGGAAAGAAAACGAACAAACAAACAAACAAACGGTTTGAAAAAAATTATTTATATAAAAAAAAAAAAAAATTTGTTTAAATATTTTTTACGAAAGAGACTAATATATAAAAAAAAAAAGAATAAAGAGAATTTTTTCTCTTTTTTTTTTCTTCTTTTTTTTTTTTTTTTTAATTAAAAATGTTTAATGACGTAGAATATGACGAAACAAACGAAGAAAAAAAAAATTTTTTTTTTTCCTTTTCGTTTGTTTATTTTGTTGTTTTCTTTTATTGTTTTTTATTTACGTACAAACGTCGAATTCGTAGAAAACAGAAAAAACAATAAAAATCAAATTAATTACTTCTCGTAACAAGTGGGGGGGGATCACCAAAAAACTTTAAAAAATATCAAACGTGATAACCATGCTCTATTATTATTATTATTATTGTTAACAAAATTGATAACAAAATTATGATGATTACGTATTTAATAATAATAATCATTTATTAATTTATTTATAAAAAAAAAATATTTAAACAAATTGCTGTTGTTGTTTGTTTGTTGTAAAAATTTGTTTTTTTTTCTCTATTTATTTAAAACTCCTCCTCTTGGCCCACCCACCTCCCATCTTTATTTGATTACTATAAAGTTAAAGAGGTCGAAAATTTTGTTTGTTTTTATTTTTGTACGGTGAGAAATTTATTTACAAAGGGTTTGTTAACTTAATAATAATAATAAAATTAATTAACTTTTCGTTGCTTGTTTCAATTATTTCACTTCCGGTTATTTATTTATTTACTTATTTCTTTTATAATAATAATAATAATAATTCTTTTTCTTGTTCATCCGTTTCGTTTTTCATTATTATCTTTTCGCGTTAATTTTTACCTTCGCGATCATCAGAAATTATTTTTATTATTTTTCCTTTTTGAAATTTTTAAAACTTTTATCGGATATCAAAGGAAAATTGCAAAACTATTATTATTATAATTATTATTATTATTATTTAAAGAAATTTTTAACGGTTCGAAATATTTTGGCATTTTTTAAATAAATAAATAAATTTATTAATTTAATCGGTTGAATGTTTTTTCCAGAAGAAGAGACACGAATGAATGTTTTAAGGGTAAAAAAAAACGATACAAGAGGAGGAAAAGGGGGTGGTAATTTTAGAGTAGGGAGTAGAAGAAGGGATGAAATCGTTATCTTATTATTTACATATGACGTCATTAAAAAAATTTTTGGAATTATTTTTTTAATCATCTTTAATAGTTTTTTTTTTTTTAATAAAATTTTAATTTAAATTTTTTGTCGGTTTTTATTTACGGTGGGGAGGAGGTAAAAGGGGAGGGAAAAGGGAAGGTAGTAGAAGAGTAAATCGGAGGAGGTAAAAAGATTAGAAAAAGAAAAAGTGGAAAACATGCCAGAAAAAAAAAAAAATAAAATTTCAACGATGGAAAAAAAAAACAAAAAACCATAGCATGTATTCAACGAAGATTAAAAAAAAATAAATTCAATTTAAAAAATTTCCCCTTCCCCGTCTCCCCCTCCTCTTCCCCGTATTTTCTGCTACCACTTTTTCCTTTTTCTTTTTTTTTTGATTTGTATTATTTTTTGGAAGGGGGAGGGGAGGGGGTAAAATAAATTTACAAAGTATTTAAAAATTTGTTTCAGTGTTTTAAAAACTAAATGATGATAATAATAAAATGATGAAATTTGAAAACGTGGTTTTAGCAATAGAACGATAGAAAATTTGCGAATAGAAAGAGAGAAAACTCGGGAAAATTGAAAATTTTAATCCGATTTGAAAAAAAATTTTTTTTTTTGTTTCCATTGAAGAGTGTAGTTGTTAATGTTTAAAGACTGGAAAATTTTTTTATGGAATAACGAATGAATGAAAAGGATCATTGTCATCATTATCATAATTCTTCAAACCTTCGGGAATTGATAATAATTAGAATAAAGAACAAAAGCAATTAAAATTAATAATGATAATAATTTAAGAATTTTGTTTACTTAACGCGGATTACAACTTCGAAATTTATACGTTTTAAAATTTATTCATTTACATCCGGTACATATTTCCGGTGAGTTTTTATAACAAAAAAATTTTTTCTTTTTTGCAATAGCATTTTTTCTTTTTTCCACGTTTCCCCCTCCCGTATTCCCTCCCTTCCTTTTTTGCAAAAATTCGACATAAATTATCAAAAGAAATTACAAAAGAAAAAAAGAAAAAAATTTTTCAATTTTATTTAATGTAAATAAATTGAAAAGGTTTTTTTTTGTCGTTTTTTTGAAGAAATGAAAAAAAAAAATCGTGTCGCCAGAAAAAATAAAATAATAATAATAATAATGATAATAATATCGATTTTTTTTAACCTTCGAAAATAAAATTTTTTTTTTTTTTTTACCTTTTTCAAATGTAAAAAATCTTTCGTTCACTTCTTTTTTTTATTATAATACTTTCTCTTTCTCTCTCTCTCTCTCTTTCTCTCTCCTTTCACCATCAATTTCGTTTTTTTTCGAAAGTATTGCATGCATTAATAATAATAATAATTTGTAAATGTATTTTGAAAATAATAATAATAATAATAAAGCGTGTAATAAATGATTAAGAAAAAAAAATTTATTTTATTTTTATTAATTGCGTTTAATCGTTTTAATTTTAATAGAGAGAGAAAGAAAGAAAGGGAGAGAGAGAGAGTTTGTGAGAGAAAGGGAGAGAGTGAGTGAGTGAGAGAAAGGGAGAAAGGGGGAGAGAGAGCCAGATAGGAAATATATTGTGGAAAGTGGAATTTTATTAAAAACGCAAACACGAGCCTTAAAAGGTTTATTTACGAATATGAAAGGGTCAATGGAGAAGAAACCCTTAATTTTAAAATATTTTTTTTCCTCTTTTCCTTTTTTTTTTTTTTTTTAATGACTATATAACGTATAATTATTTATAACATTAGCGAAACAAAGGAAAGAAAAAAAAAAAGAAATTTAATTTTTCTTTTGCACCCCCTTCCCATCCCTTACCTTAGTTATAAAAACAAACTATGTAATCAATGAAGATTTTAAAACATTGTGAAGAGGAGGGAGTTGGGAGGTGGGTAGGGAGGAAGTTAAGTGTTAGTAAAAAAAGGTTATTTTTTTGTTATAATTGATCCTTTTTCACACGTGGAAAGGTTTCATTTTAGGCGTTAATGGTTTAAAAAAAAAAAAAAAAAAAACGATTCGCGGCCATATTTTGATTTCGTTAGTGACGTTTTTCTTTTTTCTTTTAGTTAACGTTGAATTATTTTATCGATTTTTAATGTTTTACTCGATTGATTTTATTACCTTATTTATTAAAAGTTATCTTTCTCCATTTTTTTCCTTTTTTCCTTTTTTTTTGAGGAGGAAAATGGTTAATAATGGTCTTTTACGATTGGGGTATAATTTAAAAGAACAAAATTCATCCAATTGAAAATTTCTTTTTTTTTTCTTTTTCTTCTTCTTTGTAATCCTTCCACGTTCTTTTTTTTCTTCTATCTCTCTCTCTCTATCTCTCTCTCTCTCTCTCTCTCTCTCTTTTTAATACCTCTCACTCTACCCATTAACAAAAAAAAATCTTTTTTAACAAAAATAATTTTTGTTAAAAAAAATTAATTATGTTTAATAATTTTTTTTTTTTTTTTTTTT